CATAAAGAGAGCCTGAAATCCTAAGTGTCATATCATAGAAATTTTTAAGAATGACCACCAAAGTTTCAATTGTAATCCAGTCCTCAACATCAGGACTCTCACTCCCCAGATCAACAAGATAGGAACTCTCATTCTCCTCATAAGCTTCAAACACTTTTTCATCGGACATTGCAGATTTGAGCATCAAATAGGATGAATTCCACCTAGTTGGGACATCTAGGTGCAATCCAGCTTTAGTTTCCATTCCAATCAAGTATGAAATGTCCTTGAATTTTTGTAGCCTAGCAGGAGAATTTCTAACATATGTAACAGCATCCCTGACTCTTTGAACAGAAGAATCACTTTCTTTTAAACCATCTTGGACAGCCAAATTAAGGATATGAGCAATACACCTCATATGAAGGTACTTAACTTTTACAGATGAGGCACCCCAAGATAAAAGTTTTTTCTTAAAAAAACCAATTGCAGTGTCATTACTGCTAGCATTATCAACAGCCAAAGTGAAGATAGATTTCAATCCCCAATCTACCAGGCAAGACTCTAGGGCTTTTGCTAAGTACTCTCCTTTATGGGAAGTCACAGGAACAAAGGAAATTATTTTTTTATTCAGCTTCCACTCATGATCAATGAAATGTGCAGTTATACACATGTAATTGATCCTTTGTACAGAGGTCCATGTGTCAGTTGTTATACTGACCCTTTGAGTGTGTTCCCTAAACAACTTTTTCAGACTTACTTTCTCACCTAAAAATATTTGGTAGATGTCTCTAGCAATTGTCCATCTGGAAGGAATTTGGAACCTAGGACAAGCTACAGAGATAAACTTCCTAAATCCTTGTCTGTCCACAAATCTAAATGACAGGTCATCAATGATAAGCATTTCAGCAAGTGCTCTCCTAATTGCACCCTGATCAAACACCCAAGTCCCTAACACCCCAGTTTTTTCAGATGTTGGATTACACAGAACTGGTTGGAAAGTGAGAAGGGCTTGCCTAGCATCCTTTGAGCAAGGCAATTTCAGACAATTGAGTATGTGATTTCTAAGAGAGGAAGAGCCATGCTTCTTAGACTGACAACAATATGTTTTACCACAATGTATGCATTTTCCTTTGATAACAACACCATTACTATCTTTGATCTTATCAAACTGATCCCATATTCTACTTCTTGACTCTACCTCCTTTCTCTTATTTCCAGGAACATTTGTCTGCTGTGTGCTGGTGTTAGCCCCAACATCACGAGCTTCCACCACAGGTTCTTGGGAAATAGGAGTCAGAGGAGGTTGAGAGCCAGAGGCAGGTATGATATCCATACATTCAACTTCCATTCTGATAAGTCATATACTCATATGAATATATAGTTCAAAAACTCTATGCAATTAACACAGTGAACACCATCATACATTCACAAATGACAATAAAGTCTGGAACAATCAGCAAGCTGATCTACAGAAGGATATAAGCAGTAGGCCTATTCACTTCTCTACAGACTTAGAAGATACCAGTTCACTCTAACTACTCGTTTGAGCGTTGGAGTAGAAAAAGGTAACTTCAATCATCATGTTTACTCACCAAATTGTATTCACAAATCATCAGAATTCAGAAAATATGTGTATGAAAGTATGAAAGCATCATAATTATGATGTGTACACATTACAATTTACTCATATATCAGAGACATGCAACTAGGAATCAAAATCTCTGAATCAAAGGCATCACTACTCACTTAATGCAACTTCCACCCATGAATATGAACATATGAGAGAAATATGCAGCTTCCACCCATAAACTCATTAAACTGTGAATCACATATTCACAAGCATCATATATAGTTCAAAACTAATGCATATCAATATCTCAGAAACACATGGGCATGAGGCATCATCGAGGCATCACATATTCAGAGGCCATCTATATAAAAAATTCAAAATATCAGAATCATACTCACAGGCATAACAAATTAACATGTTGTTCATACAAAGGGTTTCACAGGCCGGATCTAGGGTTTAATGCTTCCACCAAACACATTTAATGATGACACAGGTAAGTCATATACAAAAATGATAACACATCACAATTAGGGACCAGGCTTCCACCAAAGGCCATTTCAAAGCCAATATTAGAGATCAGAACATGCAATAAATTGTTTATCCAAGCAAACAAAGCATACAATTTCAGTATTTAACGATTATACCTCACTACCTCAGTAAGAATTAAGATAATCGAACAGTTGGAAGCTTCCACAAATCCACAAGACAAGCCCACAATAACGATCCAGATACTGCTTCGTAACACTGGTAGGCTATGATCGGCTTCCACCAAGGCAGAGAGGCACAAACGTACAAACTACAGGTGGATGGATGAGAGAGAGAGTAGACAGGGATGACCGGAAACAACAGATGAGAGGATGGGTTAGAGAGAGGTCGGAGTAGAGGAGAGGGTCAGAGGGAGTTGCCGGTTGCGAGTGAAGAGTGAAGTGGTAGGGTTAGGGTTAGGGTTAAATGTTTAGTATATATACCTAGGGCTATTCGGGGTTTTCGGGCGGGTCGGGTAGCCAATTTCTAAACCCTACCCGTAACCCATTCCCTTAAATATTGGGCTGGGCATATTCGGTTCGGATTTTCGGGTTTGGGTCAACCGACCCAGGCGGGTAAATGAGGGTAAACCTGATCGGGTTTTCGGGTGGGTTCGGGTTATGCTCACCCCTACTTATTACACAATTCAGCGCGCACAAGAAAAAATTATGTGTTTGGCGAAAAATTTGGCTGATAAGCCTGATAAGCCGAAAAACAGTGTTGTCAAACGTCCTCTTATTGCATCACTTTTGTTGTCCAATTCAACAATTAACACATACATTTATATCTTAAATCTTTCCGGTAGAAACTCTTGTCGGAAACTCTGACCGACCATTGAGGCTATGTTTTTTATGAAAGGTGCGAAAAGGTGCGAAGACGATGTTATGTTAGGGTTAGTGGTGGACTCGGTTCGGGCCACCCGGCCCGTGAACCGACCCGGTCCGTGAACCGACCCGGTCCGCTACTGTGCTGGCCCAGAACTGGCCCGATCTGGCGGTCTGGGACCGGGTGTAGACCCGAACCAGAGGGCAACGAGGGGCGAGCTCGGTTCTGGCAAAACGTGACCCGGCCGGGTCGGGCCCGGGTCACAACGATTATATTTTTTTTTACTTTTGGGCCAAAAGAGCCGTTAGGCCAACGGTTGGGACTACCCAAACGGCTATATAGCCGTTGGGTGGGCTGGCAGGGGGGCCGGGCAGTTTGGGGGAGGGGGGAGGGTGGGGGTGAGGGTAAAAAAAACTATAAATACTCCTAATCTTAAACATTTTTCCATCTCTCTTCTTCAACTCTTCCTAAATTCTACTCTCTATTCTCTGATCATCTTCATCTTCATCTTCTCAAATTCTCTTATTCTCCAATATATTATATATCTACTTATATTATTTATCTACTTATAAATACATATATTATATTACTTATATTTCTTATCTACTTATATAGTTATATATTAATTATCTATTTATAAATACATATATTATATTACTTATATTTGTTATCTACTTAATCTCTGCTTATTATGTACGTATTATCTACTTATTATCTACTTACATCTACTAAATACATACATATTACAATTTATATCTACTTAGTTCGAATTGTTAGTACATTTTAGTACGAATTAGTACATTTTATATAATACTTTGATTGTTAGTACATAAAATAACTAGTACAAAAAACTAGTTAATTCATTACTCAATTAAACTTAGAATTTTATTTCATTAAAGTTAGAATTGTTAGAATTTTATTTTATTAAAGTTGGAATTGTTAGAATTTTATTTCATTAGTTCGAATTGTTTTTATAAATTAATATTTGTTACATTTTTAAGATGGAAGGTGGTAGATATTCGGTTGATATGGGTAACCTCGACCGCAACCGAACGAACGAGCTTGCGAGGAAGAGATCCCGCAAAGGTAAATCACATATCGGCTCTTCATCTCAAAGCCGAGATGATTTTGATACAGGTTACGCAAGGAGGGATGGAGATGCGATGACCGACGAACAACTAGAACAAGAATTGCACCGACATAATAGTCGGTTTTTCCAAGACCGGCCGAGGACCATTGACGAAGAAGAGCTCGAGGACGACGATGTGGAGGAAGTAATTCCGGAGAGCCACGATGCCGACGCGGAGGAGGGTGGCGGCAGCCATGACGCCGACGAGCCTGCCTCATTCCAAATGGTACGAAAAAGTGAATCTGAACTAATGCTTAATAATTTTGATAAGTAGAAGGACCCGAACACCGAGAATTGGAACGCAACTTGCAAGTGGTGCAAGAAAAATTATAGCTTGGGGATTTGCAGCGGATACGGATCCGCCGCAAGACATCGTAAGGCCAAACACACGGTGGAGTATGCAAAATTAGGCGACGGAACGGGGAAGCAAACTCAAATATCGAGGTTTGCTAATAACCAACAACCTTTTGGTAATTTCTCATACAATGATGCACAAAATTTGATTGGTATGACTAACTTACTTGTTGAAGAAAATTTGCCTTATTTATTTTCTGAAAGTCTTGCTTTCAAAGATGATGCACAAACTTGTTTAAATCCTCAATATAGAGATTATAGTCACAAAACGATTAAGAAAGAAATTTTAAGGTTTTATGATGCGAAAAAAGTAAGGTTACAAAATTATTTTGCAAACTTGGATGGACGTGTTACTGTATGTTCTGACTAGTTAGGGTATACGATAGTATTAGGAATAATAAAATATTTTGATTGTCCGTGGCTGTATCATGCAAACCTGTGAGTGTAAATAGAATTCCCCTTAAACTAATCTAACTTAGACCCAACAATTTTATTGGGCTTCTTGTCGCCCATTTACAGCCCACAATATTCACCTTCGTAAAATTGGCCCATTTCGAGCTTTCCCTGTCTGCTTTCTTGCGTACAAAGCTTTCAGTTGGGCGGAAAATTGATCAATCTACCAGACGTACAGAGAAGAAAAAGAAGAGAAGATCAGTTGCAAAGAGAAAGCGAGAAAGATCAATGGATGCGTCGAAGACTATCCCGCACGAAATCGGTGGAGTGAAAAACGACGCACTCCGATTTGGACTTCATGGTGTTAAGAGCGACCTTGTCGGGTCCCATCCTCTCGAATCCGCATATGAAGAGGTATAATCATTCTCATCCGCTTCTATTCCTTCATAATTACATCCCTCTCATTCTTTGTGTGTGTGTGTGCGTGTTTGGAGTAGAACAAAACGAGCCAGGAGAAGATGAAGAGGACGGTCCTTGCCAACACTTACGGCTTCGCCTTGCCCACGAGGATGGAGTTGGAACGCCGGATCCTCTCCAGGTCTGAATCATGTAGAATTTAATCTATCACCTCATTTCTTATCGATTACCTTTTTTTGCTTTTGTTGTGTGCTTTTTTGCGCTGTTGGACTAGTTTCTTACTGTTTGCTACTGGCTTTCTATCTTCATTATTTGAGCATCTAAATGAAAAAATTCTTTCCGGGATGCTGTAAATTATATTTTCCTTTTCAGTTTTAGATATTATTTTATTATATTTAATTAAGTGCTGATTAGGGGTACGGGGGTATTCCTGGCTGTTTTGGGTTAAGTGAATATAGCCATTTGTTGGGGATATTATGCTTTCAGAATTCTCTGGTTGAAGAAATCTGGCTGCTGGCCTGCCGTTTAGCAGATCCAGTTGGTTTTCAATAGAGGATGCGATTCTGCTTAATTTCTTTGATGGATATTTAGGTTTTTAGGCTAATGGATTCTTGCTAGGTAATAATTAATCAATACATCATCCATCAAGAAATAAACGTCCTACTTTCCGTTTTGGGTTGTCTCACTCATCATTTCTTTTTAAGGAAGGAAGTGTGTCTTTGATAAGGTGGTGAAGGGGTAGTAATGTTCAATACATGATACTTAGTTGCCTTTTGAATCACAGGCTGTAATTTGTTTTTTTCCCAAGCTTGATGCTTCCTCTGTTGGATTTGGTTACATTACTTTTTCTTTAATATTTTTTTTCCTCATTTGGAACAAAAATGTAGGAGTCATTGGGCTAGTATGGCAAGGGTTATTTGGTTGAGATTTCATTATAGTCTGATTTTTCTGAAAGCAAAAGCATTTCAGCAAATTAAGTATTTCAAAAGCTGCTTTTTTTGCTAAGTCTAACAAGCCAAATGAAGCCTTTATCTATTTATGTCTTACTGCAAATGTGATGTCATCTGTGAAATTTGCTTACACGACTGGGATGGTATTTGTTATCACGATTACTGATTTACTGTTATTGCTATTATGTTTGAAACATTATGTTGAGATGAAGGTAGTGCGGTATTCACCTCACATTTTGTCATCTCTGAAGAGGGCGGAAAAGTTAAACCCATTTAGTTTGCCCTGATGTATGCCCCTAATAAGCCAGACATGTATGAATGTCCTCTTTTGGTGTATTTATGAACCTAAATGATCTAATTTGTACATAGCAATAGATACTTGCAGACTGAATAATTTAATTTTTAATGCTTGCAGGTTTCAGAGGCCTGTTGGAGCAATACCCTCTTCCATGTTGGGTTTAGAAGCCATGACAGGAGCTCTGGAAGACTTCGGTTTTGAGGACTACCTGAATGGTAATGAGAGAAATTCAGTTTCTTTACTAACAAATACTATTTGTTACTCATTATATTTCTCTGTTGTGAGCTATATAACAAGGCCTTGAGATAATTATGCTACAATCTTCTGCAATTGATTAGTTTGAGTTAAAGTTTGGATTTGTGTGTTTTGCATCCAACTGCATTTCCTGGAAAGTGGAAACCCAACTAATTTCACCATTTTCCAGGGTACGTTTGGATCACTGAAAAGGTTAAGAAAACTTGATTTCTTATGTTTGGCTTTACCGTGGAAAATGAAAACTTCATTTGTTTTCTTTTATTACCCCTGTATATGATATATATTTATGTATAATAGAAACAAACAAATTAAATAAAAAACAAACTTTGAGCTCCTTGAGTATATCCTTCATTTCCCCCAATATTTTTTCCTTTCCCTTTTTCATCTCTGTTTGCCTTTCTGTTGTTCTCCCTAGTATTTTGTATATTTTCCGGCTTCCAAACAGAACTAAGTGTTTGGTTATGTTAAAATTATCAAGCTCTCTTTAAAACAATGCTTAGGCTGTAAATAAATAGTCATGTCTACGTATGGTATTATGCATCAACAGATTCAATATAACTTCCGAGTTCCTACTGTTGTTGATTTGTTGTACAAATCTCGCTAGGCAGTGGGTAGATGGTAAATTTAGGTGTTCTGTGAAAAATTATAAAACAGAATTACACCACCACCTCAAACAATATATCCATATGCGTGTGCGCCTATGTTGCACGGAAACTTGAAAATTATGAGGAAATGGGAAGCGGGAAACATCATATTTTGCTCGAAAAACAATTGCTTGCATAATTTTTAAATAGTTTCCGTAGAGTTTCTGAAACGGAAACGTACTCTTTCCCGAGAGTTTTCGTGCTTCATAGGTGTGCGCATACACTCACACACATATAACCACACACATATGACCTAGGAGTTGGGAACTGGCCACATGCAGGTCTGACAAAATCAAACTAATAGGCCAGAGGCCCAGAAGACAACTCCCCAACTAAATTTAGCAGTGTGCTTTTGTCAGACCTGAAGCATGTGGGCCGTTTTTCCATGCGTGCAGCCATTTTTCGTAACCTAAATATGTTTGTTGCTGTTTATATGCCAGATCCAAAGGAATCTGAGAGTGTTCGTCCATCTAACCTGCATCATGGCATGGAAGTGAGGCTCGGGTTATCCAAAGGACCGGTGTGCCCTAATTTCATCTGAATCATTTGGCTGTGGTTAATCATCTTTTAATCATTCTGATAGTGTACTTTAGTTACTGTTCTGCTTTTGGTTTATGTTTGATTTTCATCTTTCTTAAATCAAAAGTTAGTGTTGTAAACATTTTAAATCCTGAACAATTTACATTTTAATATGCCTGGTCCTTTTGTTGATTTGAATAGGTCTCACTAGGGTTTGTGTTGGGAAAAGTTCTTTTTGTCTTTATTTTATGGTAAAATGGTCAATTAAGCGATGACTTATCCAGAAAAAATCATCCGGACAAACTTGTAAAGTTAAATAGATATTATCTCACACACGTTACCGACTAATCACAAGAAGAAAAAAATTGTAAAGTCAATCATATATAGCAGAATATTCACTGGACAAAAACATTATACTCCCTCTGTTCCGAAATTATCTTCATTCTTTTCTTTTCGGTCCGTCTCAAATTTATCTCCTCTTTCCTTTTTTGGTAAAGAATATGTGGTTCACAACCATTCTTGCAGCTATCCTATTCAGCTTTGGCTTTCTCTGATTGCAGCTATCCTATTCTGCTTTGGCTTGTATGACCTATCTGAGCCTGCAAACACAATCGATCACAATCCCACTTCTGTTTTTGATAGGTCATGGATGTTTTTGCTGGCCAAGCATGAGAACATTAGGGTTGATTAGGAATCTTCATACACACACACATTTCACTTTAGAAAATTTACATTTTGATTTGGCTCAAATTACATTTGAAAATACATGCAGTTACATTAGGATTTGCCTAAAGTTACATGTCTATTAGCGTGAGTTACATGTCAACTAGGTTTGGACTCGGGCCGGTTCCCCTTTTCCCTTACCCGTGCCCGGAACCGGTAGACCCCCCGGGTTAGGCCCGAACTGGAACCGGACCCGGTTTCCCGGGCCGGTCCGGTCCTGCACAGTAGCGGGCCGGGTGGCTCGCACCGAGTCTAAGCCTAATGTCAACTTTCATCAACAAGTTATATCATACTTGCACGTGATTTATATTTTATATAATATGAGTTACATCGCAATATAATGCGAGTTACACAACAAAACAATATTAAAAACAAAACAATAACACTATTTATGTAAAATAATTTGACTTCTTTTTTATCATTATTTACATTTAAATCAAAGTTTACTTCTTATACTATGTATTTGACAAAGTTACATTTTGACTGGACTTGAGTTATATTGATCAATAACGTGAGTTACATATATTTACATGTGAGTTACATCATTCATGCTACTCGGACAAAAAGAAGGAAAAAACAGTTATTGTACACGTGTGTATGGTTCACGTGATTTTTTTAAATAGTGTGCAAAACTATGTCGTTTTGGGAGTGGGAACATGGTGCTCACTGTGGGATGATTCCACGGTATACGAACTGCTATCACATATTTACTCCCTCCGTCCTTGTTAAAACTAGGGATGGAATCGGTTTGGGCCGGGCCCGGTTCGGGCCTTGAATCGGCCGGGCCTCGGTTCAAGCCCTCAAGGTATGGGAGGCCCGGAATCGGCCCGAGTAACCCCCGGGTCCGGGTTGAGCCTCGGTTCTATTTTTGTTTTTTGTTTTTCCTAGTTAACCCCCAACCCTCCCCCTCACCCCCAAACCAACCCTAACCACCTCAAATGGCCCAAAATACCCAACCCAACCCAAAAACTTAAAAAAAATTCAAAAAAAAAAAATTGGCTGGGCCGGTTCACCTTTTGAAGGGCCCGAGCCGGAACCGCCATCACATCGGGCCGGGTGGCCTGAACCGGCCAACCAACCGGTTCACCGGGCCGGTCCGGGGCCGCACAGTAGCGGGCCGGTCCGGTTCCGGGCCGGTTGGCCCGGCCCGAGTCCAACCCTAGTTAAAACTTCCGTTTCAGTTTGGCACACACTTTAAGAAAAGGGAGTTTTTGACTTTGACTTTCCAGCCTTGCCCTTTTAGTTTAACCGCAAGAATTAAAGGGAAATGAACAGGGAAATAAAGTGACTTTGCTGAGTGTTGTGTACGGTAAAAAGCAGCCCACTTTTACAGAATAATAAGGCCTTTTATACAATCTGAAAAGTTCCCTTTTGGCGGGACTTTTCAGCACTCCCTCCAAAATACACAAGTACTAACATACAATTGAAAGGTCTATAAATAGCAAGTCATATCCCATAAAATTCATCCTCACAAATTATAACAAATATGACTTCTCATCCAGTCAATGAACGGACTCAAATATGACAAAGATGCTGGAATGGGTCATTTCACACATTGTCCCAAAGTCAATGATTTCTCATCCAGTGTTTGAACCCATGTTGAATTGTAAGCATGTGGATGAGAAGTGGTTTTACATGACACAAGTCTCAACCAGGTACTATCTTGCTAAGGATGAAGAGGAGCCTGACAGAAGTTGTAAGTCCAAGAGATACATCACAAAAGTGATGTTTCTCTTTGTTATGGCTAGGCCAAGATTTTCACAAGATTAAGAGGTGTTATTTGATGGGAAAACTAGTATTTTCCCATTCACTGAATTCCGACCAGAAAAAGGAACAGCAAAAACAAAAGACAAGGTACAATAGAGGAGCAATAGTGTACTTCTAGTGAGCAATAGTGTACTTCTAGTGAGCATATGATCTATTTTAGTGAGTATTAGAAGGCTAACAATGAGTATCTTGATTTCTGCTTCATATCTTCTATTTTCTTTCCTTTTATTATTATTTCTTTTATAAAAACTTACTCCCTCCGTCCCTTAAAACTTTGTCAACTTTCCTTTTTTGGATGTCTTACTAACTTTGCCACTTTTCCTTTTAAATTAAGAATTTGTGGTTCTAGTTAATTCTTTTTCCTCTGCACAAATCTCAACCACACAGTTTTTTACTTTATTAATCTCTGTGTCGGTCAAACTTGGCAAAGTTTTAAGGGACGGAGGGAGTATTAAATTATATCTATAATCCACTCCTATTAATTTCAATATGCGAGTCTAATGTAATATGATACTTTTGAAATATGCATTGCTATGACATTTTACAAATGAGCTCACATCAATACCAATGAGCATACATAACTTACAAAGTGCACATTGATATGAAAATTGTAAGATTTGTAAGTTGAACATAACGACATTTTAATTGAGCATCAAACCTCCGCTATTGAGATGAAAATCACGGTTTCTAATGATTGAGCACTAATGAACTTTTAATGAGCATCATACCTATTCTGTTGAGTATTAGGAGTCTAATATCCAGAATCGTGATCTCTGCTTCGTAACTTCTAATTGACTTTCATTGTGTTATTTTTTCTTTTATAAAAAATTATTAAATTATATTTATAATCAACTCCTATGAATTTCAATATATGAATCTAATGTAAGATAGTACTTTGAAAAATGCATTGATATGCCATTTAGAAAATGAGCATAAGATCATTTACATGTACACCCGGGTGTAGGATATAAATTTCATTCCTTATTTTGCTATCTTCCCTTGCATTGTCGTGGGTAGAAGTTGCGATGTGGCAATCATAGAGCAAATGAGTAAATCATAGAACAAAACCTAAAAATTATAGAGGGTATGGTTGTCTTTCAAGGAGCTATCTCCTTTCTTATATACTCCCTCCGTCCCGTTGGAATGTTCCCGGTTTGACCTACACACATATTAAGGAAATAAACTTACCAGGGGGTAAATTTTACCGTTTTGACACTGCTGTGACACTGTTTGATACTGTTTTGCACTGTTTGACACTGTTTTGATGTAGGATAACTTTCCATTTAGGGAAATGCGAACTTTCTAACGGGACATCCAAAAAAGGAAAGCGGGAACATTCCAACGGGACGGAGGGAGTATATATATATATAAAATATAATAAATACTCGGTAGAATAGATAAGAAAAAGAGCCCATATAAAATTGTACTCTTCTAAAGAGGATGCACGTGTCAGGTTTCTAAGCAAACAAAGAAATGGAGTAGAGAAACATGACTAAGAAGCTATTCTGTTCGTCTTATTCTTATTACATATAGCTTATTCTTATTTTATTCAAATCATATAAAAAAAATCAGATCAGTTCATATCAAATCATAAAGATTCAAATCAAATAAAAGAGATTCAGATTAGACCAGAAACATTCTGATCATATCAGAAAAGTTTAGACATTATTTATCACTTTTATTATTATTATTACAACTATAGTTATATACTCTCTTCGGTTTTATTAATCTTCACACTTTCCTTTTTGGGACGGTCTAAATTAAACTTCACACTTCCAAATTAGGAAAGTTTTTAATACGAAATACCCTTTATATCCCTACCCCATTTACCCATTTGTTCGGCCCACACCCCATTTATTCGCAGCTCCATTTACTCTCTCGAATCTTCTCTCTTTAATCACCTCTCTTCTCTCTCTGTCTTCAACCCCTCCACCGCCTCGTAACCTCCATCGCCACCCCTCCTTCTCATCACTTCCATCGCCACCCCTCCATCTCCTCACTTCCATCACCACCCCTTCCTTCTCCTCACTTCCATCGTCACCCCTTCCTTCTCCTCTCTTCAATGGATCCGAAAGGATCACCTCAGGAGAAAACCTTAAGGCGGCTGAGCTTCCCAAACCCACACACGCTGCAGAGATTGGACCCTCAAAATCCGAGATTGAGTTGTGTGTAAATCCAGAAGCTGAGATTGCACCGCCACTTCAATCGTATGAAAATAGATACCACGACTCAGATCCCTTCAGACTATTCATAATTCGGTTTGGTTCTCAAAGCTCTTCTGAAACAGATCCGAACTGGCGTTTGCGTAAGAAATATGAATCCAATCTTGTTTTGATACATACGACGGTTTGGAAGGCCCGGATGACGAAGATGGAGAAGAAGTGAACTCGGGACCGGCACTGGATGATGGGGAAGAGAGCGACGGAGGCGGCGGGGAAGACGACAGAGGCGACGACAGGGAAGATATCCACTACGGCGGGGGGAAAGAAGACGATGACGTCCAACACATTCCCTGTTGTACTGTAGCAGTCTGCAAAGTGTGCAGGTTGTCCTTATCTTTCTATTTAAACGATCCCTTTTTCTTTTACTGTGAACATGGGGGTAACTTCCTTTTGGGGGTATGATAGAGTATATAGACCTGGACCTCCGGGTCTCACGAATATTGAGCCCGGACAGCGGTCCAAACACGCTTATCAGTTGTCTTTTGTATTACCGTATTGTTCATATATCATGTGTATGTATTAGATTAGTCTTTTATGTAGTTGGGCCTATCGAGCCCATATTAGCGGCCCAATCCATTATTTCTCTATTCATACTCCTTTTGGAGTCACTTGTAAATCCCAGGATGATTATTACACAAGCAATATCACTATTCATCATCTTCTTTCTCTCTTGAGCTCAATCTCTCCATTCTATACATGTCTGGATCCCTATAATCCATCAATAGTGCTTTCATAAATGGAAAGTTAACACAAATTATTTCACTTCCTTAAATGTTGAAAAGTCAAACTGTGAAGATTAATAAAAACCGGAGGGAGTAATTATGAGTATAGATATAATTATAATTAGAACTATATTTACAATTATAATCATAAATATAATTAAAAATATAATTATAGCTATAATTGTAATTATAAATATACCTATGATAATAATAATAATAATTGTAACTAATGTAATATGTATAATAATAATTATACGTATTATAGTTATATCTATAATTATAATCGTAATCATAACTATATCTATAATTGTAGCACCGTCCCCAAGCATATTTACTTTTAGTAAATTATGTAATAAACCTTGAAAGATGATTTTTGAATTTACGTAATTGTTAAATTTTGTTATTTCTTTTACGTGAATAGTAAATTGCATGTGGGGCCCACAACGGAAGCGGGGGCCGCCCGATAATTCCCGAACCACATATTATATTCATCTTGGTCTAGATGACACCTATATGGTGGTGGATATTTTATTTGGGCCATAATAAAGGCATGGAGTTGACCGGTTGGTCAAACGGGGCCCAATTATCGGTATTGGTAATTTAGCGGATAACAGCCCGAAATGAGTCTCGGAGATTCCTAATTAATGTTGGGGAATGTACATCCATTCTAAAGGCCCATAATCATTAGAAACACGTGATATATTTTATTTGGTCCGATAAAATAAAATATGACAAAAATAGTCCGAAAAATACAACTTTCGGGGCCGATTATACACATCGGGGCAAAATGGGATGACCTCCCACATAAGTGGGGGCCACCCCACGATTTTATGTCTTACAAAGGACCAAAGAAGCAGCTAGGGGTGTGCATATTAGGTGGGAAGTCTCAATTGAGACAAAACCCATACCCCCAAGCCATATCCTCCACAATCATATTGTGGTTGATTGAGGAGTATCCCCTACCACCCTTGTACCATCCCACAACCCAACTACAGAGAGATAAGCTCTGGGAAAAACCTCCACAAAGGTCCAGCTCAAGGGAAGCAATGAGGGAGGAGAATCCAAGAAGGGAAAGCTAGGAGTTGGGTAAGAACTCATTAAGCATTTCTTTTAACTAGTTTATGTTGTATGATTTTTAAGAAATCATATGGTGGATTAAACCACGAGTTCTACACGTTTAAAAGTGTAGAATGTTGATATAAAGTGGTGGTAATTAACTTAGAAGGGTTGGCAAATCGATAGGAGTCGAAACCACCGGAAACCGCCACTTCAAAGGAACTAGTCGTAGTTGCAGACCACGAAAGCCGCCCGGCTTTCGTGAAAGCCGCCCGGCTTTTGCCCAGAAACCCAGTTTTCCACTTTCAATCGGCCTAGAACGGGGATCGATCGAGGAGCTTAGCAAAGGCAACTATTTCAGCACTTCATAAGGTGAGGATGGCTGACTATATTGCTTATAACTAGTGAGTTAATTTCATAAGAATGCCTAAAGTAATTAGATGAGATTTTCATGGATTATTAATGACTAATAATGCCTAAATGAAAATAATATGGATATGAGTAAGTGAAGCATGATATACAAATTTAGAATAATTGTGTATGATTATGTGAAACGAATGGAACGGCATGTTAATGGAATTACTATGATTGACATTGCGATAAAATATGCTTTACTTCATGTATGAAATTCATGAATGGATTAAAGTGACATTTTTGATATTGAGATCAAACTATACTTGGGTTGAGAAATCAATGGGAATGAAATGCCAATTGGGAAATAGGAACTTAGCATGTTCTAAGATTATCCAATTAGTATCAAAATACTAGTCGGGGAATTAATATAAATAAATGATGAAACAAATCCTAAGAGGTAGGATTGTGAATAGATATGCCTTAAGTAGTCTCAAGAGATACTTAAGGATGAATGGTATGAACACTAAGGTGTGATAGGGGTAGGCCTAAAGGCCACCTACGGGAATTGATTCTAGGCATAGGACTTGCTTGAGAATTTGATTATGAAAATAATTAGAGTTGGACTCTAGGATGACATGGAGATGTAGTTGGGCCGAGCCCATGCCATGTAATATGATTAGCATGGAAACGTAGTTGGGCCGAGCCCTTGCCATGTATATGTGACCTCCGTGGAAACGTAGTTGGGCCGAGCCCTTGCCACGAAGTTATGGTTGGTATGGAAACGTAGTTGGACCGAGCCCTTGCCATACAAATTTTGATATGATATATTGAGCTAGAGGATTGTATAGAGATGTAGTTGGGCCGAGCCCATGCTATACAATTGGGGCTCGATGGGACCCCACGGGGTTATCGTGACTTGCGGTCACGGGGGAATGGAAACGATGAATTCTAAATGAATATGGGCCTACGGGCCGACTACTTGACTTTATGTAAAGTAAGTGCAGCTAAAAGTAAAAAGGGTAACCGAGGGTTATGGCCTATAATATAATAGTACCCTAAGTTGAGGGTCTTGGAAATTAAAACGTTGATTATACTTAGTATAGTTGCTATTGTACTTGTCAAATATTTCCAAGTACTGACCTCCCCTTCACGGGAGAGGCCACCTCACAGTTTCAGGTAGAACTTGAAGGTTGCTACCATCGCCCGTGGCTTCGGGAGGATCCAGGGGAGAAGACGTGGTTCGTGCTTCTTCCGTTCTGTTTTAAAAACAATTACGTTAATACTCATGGATATTATTTTTGAATAATTACTTTGGGGGCTTGTATGCCGAGTTATGCCAAGTGTGGCTTGAACAATTGTATTTATGCTTCCGCTGTTTTAAATGAATGTTTTACATTATGTTTGTTTATGGATGTGCTATGTGTGAATGATATTCATGACGCCTTGTATAGTATGGATGAGTTGGACTGCGGTTGACTATTCGTACTGTACGGCGGGTTGTTGACGTGTCCGGCTAGGTCTGGGGCGTGACAATAATAATAATAATAATTATAATCACACCTTTGGTTGTAATTATAATTGTAATTATAGGTATACGAGATTGTAATTATTCAATCATGTATTCAATCTGTAGACGGGGTTGCCCGTTGGGGTTGCGGTTGGGGCTGGAGATGGGATTGGAAGTCCGTTCGCCGGAGAGAGGAGGGGCTGGTGGTCACTGACGAGATTGTTGGGCAACGTCGGTGGTGTCCGAATGTTATTTCTAGCATTGGTCACTATTGGGCATGGTATAGGGTCAATTTGAGTAACTGTAACCGGACGGTTCAAATAACTGCAATTGGACGGTTCGAATAATTGTAACCGAACGATTCAGATAACTGTAATTGAACGATTCGGGTAATTGTAATTGATTGGATCGGGTAACTGTAACTAGTTGAATGGATAATTGTAACTTGTTGTTTCGGATAACTGTAACTGGTCGGGTCATGTAAGTGTAACTAATCGGTGTTATGTAACTGTAAATATGAAGCATAAAAAAGTTACGCAAGCCTCTTTTTTGAAAATAGGATTTCAGGAGACTTCGGATTTGGCTAGATTCCATGGATTTCAACGTAAGACATACTCTCATCGTCCCATTTTAGTTAGTCAAAATTGACTTTTCAAGTGTCTTCTAACTTTGATCGATTATATGTTTATATTTATATAAAGAAAGTATTCATAATACGAAAATGATATAGAATGTTCTTTTGTTAAAAATACTATCATAAAAGTATAAAATTATTAAATTTTGCATAAATTTATTAGTTAAAGTAATTGGTGAAAGTTTATTATAGAGACATTGGTTTGAGCAATTGGTATTATAGAGACATTGGTTTGAGCAACAACACCCACACACAGTAGTTCGTGCTCCTCTTCAACGGAGGAAATGACCTTCGAACCTTGAGAGAGAGCATAAGATGAGTCTTCTTTCTGAATGACTCAAGGATTTTGAGTAGCCACCTTTCTTGATCCAACAATTTTGGGCGGCCACTTGGAAATTAGGTCGAAGCGAACCTATTACAGTTGCCACCGATGAAGAACTTCCAACCCATATCTGACGATGGTGAATACCACGAGATTACGCTGCAACACAAGGGGATGAGATTTGGAAAATGGGATTTCATTCTTTATTTGGGCCGGCAAGTCTCAACATGTCCACATGGTAAATACAATCCATGTCTTGTGTCTTAATTGAATACACGAAGATTTCACAAATCCCAAAATGCCTTAAAATGTCTAAAATGAATACACTCCCTTTAGTTTTTAAAAGTAAAGACTATTAAATTTCCCCAACTACCGGTCAGTCTAGTCGTCTATAAAGGAGTTCTACCGCACAGTAATGGCAAGAAACCCAGAATGGAGGAGGGGTTGCTGTTGTTGAAGGCGAGAGAAGAGAATGGTCGGATAGGGTTGGGATCTGTTTGGGCGGAGGTGAGGAGGTTAGGGTACTTGGCAGGTCCAATGGCGGCTGTGACTTTATCTCAGTATCTATTACCCATCATATCTGTTATGATCGTTGGGCATTTGGGTGAGCTTTATCTCTCCAGCACCTCCATAGCTGTCTCAATTGCTGGTGTCACTGGCTTCAGTTTTATGGTGAGTACACGTTCTTTTCAATTACATTTCTTCAAAAGATTGCTCGTTTTCATTATTTGATAGTTAATCTTTATGCGTTTGTTGGCCATAATGCAATATACTTCAAGGCTCCGTTTGATTGTACGAAAATAAGTTGATGTAGAAATTGTATTTCTTTGCACATGTTTCCCTGTAATATATTGTACATTGAAAATGTTTCTCTGAAGATTAAGAAATTAAGATGTTCTCTAAGTATAAATGTTTAGTCCACCCAAAAATAAAAAACACCAAGGGGTTTCAAGAAAATGGCTCCTGTTCTTGAAACGAGATGTTTATTTTCAACAAAATTTCGGACAGTGAAGGAAAATAATCTCTACTGCAATTCTTCAAAGCAAATGTTTTTTCTATTGGAAGTAGTGAAGTACTATTTTCTTTAAAAAATATTTCTAAAAAGTATACTTTGTTTCTAAACTACTACTTGTCTACTTCCTCCATCGCATATTAAACTTCTTGCTTGCTTTTGGCACAAGATTAAGAAAGTAAAATTGTGCGGTTAAAACTTAGTTAGGAAAAAGTGAAATCCTTTTAAGATAGCATATATGCAATACAACAGTACCAAAAGTCTTATAATTGTAAGTTTTTTTTCCCAATCTATTATTGATTCAGGTAATCAGGTATGCAACATTGTTCATTCATTATAAACCTGGCATGGAAAACTCAGTTATTCACAGGACAAAGATTTTGGCTTTTCTTTTCTGTTAGTTGATAGAAAGGACTAAAGCGTGTATTGATAGAACAGTTTTTGGTAAATTGTGTTAGAAGCACATGCATGACATACGTGTATAGTTCTTTTGTTATAATATGAACATGTAATTTTGAATAGGAAGTGATAAAGCAAAGCAGTAATGCTACTGCCTACTGTGCTAGATATTTGAGGAATGTATATAGAGTGTAGACAAAAGGCTCCAGAAATGATTCTATATACTGTCATAAAATAATCTTACAATCCCATATGAGAAAAATTAAGAGAGAACAATGGGGTTAATGAGACCTTGGGTTGAACTAGCAAACAAATTAAATTCGATGTTATGGTCCTGTTGAATGATTTTAACCGTCTAACTCGATCCTGAATTTTCCAAATTAATAACATTATGATATTGAAAATCACAACGGAATAGATATTATAACTCCTCCAATTCTGACATATTCTAACATTTCGAAATACAAAAGCTCTGTATAACTAACTATAATAATTCTGTTTAACTTACGATATATTCTGTATTTTTTTTAACAGTTAGGAATGGCATGTGCTCTAGAAACACTTAGTGGGCAAGCATATGGAGCCAAACAGTACCACAAACTTGGAAGACAAACGTACACTGCCATTTTCTGCCTTTTTATCGTATCCATCCCCCTCGCGATCTTGTGGACCCAAATGGGGAAAGTGCTAGTCTTCATAGGCCAAGATCCTCTTATCGCAGAAGAAACCGGAAGGTTCTTAAAGTGGCTCATTCCGGCCTTGTTCGCGTATTCGACCTTACAGCCTCTCATACGTTTTTTTCAGGTGCAAAGTATGATCTTTCCCTTGCTCATGAGCTCATTCATAACAATGTGCTTCCACGTGGCTCTATGTTGGGTGCTGGTTTTTAAGTCTGGTTTGAGTAATATTGGGGCTGCTATCGCTATTAGTGTGTCTCTGTGGGTGAATGTGGTAATCCTTTCTTTATACATGAGGTTCTCCCCTGCTTGTGACAAAACTCGTTCCATTGTTTCATGGGAAATCTTTCATGGAGTGAAGGAGTTTTTCAGATATGCCATTCCGTCAGCCATCATGATTTGGTAATCTGTCCACCTCCTCCTCACTCCGTGTAGTATATTACGTGTAATGCAATGTCAACTAGATTGGGATCACTGCTTTAATCCCATTTACTTTGAATTTTTGCAGAAGAAACTCATTCTAATGAAAATTATAGTTATTACTTGTCAAAATTAGTTAATACTTAAAATTCTTGCTAAAAGAAGTCCGTTGTAATTATAATTACAATATTAGTATTTTTATATAATGTTAATTAGTCATCATAACTTATAATTATTCAAGACTTTAAATTCTTGCCAGAAGCTCTTTTTAATGAAACATACAGTGTTAATTAATCGGCACTTTAGTGTCATGCTAACAAGAAGCTGTGGCACAGTTGTATCGCGGATACCCTTATTGCCCCATGCATATTGCTATCTATGTGTGCTGAAAGGCACTATCTTTTATCTTTCTTATATTCTTGGGTTATTGTTATCTTATATTTATTTCTTTATTTTATTCGTTTTATCTTATGTTTTTTCTTCTTCCCTTTCTTGTCCGTCTTCTCTGTTTGACATCGATATCATTGATCGATTCATGTTAGCTGATCCCAAATTCTTTTGGGATTAAGGATTGGATGTTGTTGTTGTTGTTGTTGTTGTTCCATTCGACCCTTTCATTGTTGTTGTTCCATTCGACCCTTTCATTGTAGTTATTCAAATTCCATTCCTTGGCCTCTCGTTTTTAAAAGTTATTAAATCGAGTTTCATTAAATATGTATACTTTTCTATGCTTTCACATTGGATGGTATAATCTCTAAACTATTCTTTTAAGCCACTCTCTTATGTTTTAGTTGATTCACCCATGCACGTTTTGAACTATCACACTCAGCCTGTATAATATAAAGTCTTTTCAAACTTTTGGTTTAATGTCGTGTTCATCGTCAAATTCAGAACTTCAAATGTGTTTTGGTCAATTATTTGAGAAATAATAAGTGGTTATCTTTAACCAAGCCTTTTGTAACTTTGTGCTTTATTGCTAGTGGTATTAAAACAGTGAACTTTAGAGACTATTGTTAACTTCTGCTCATGGTTACTGAAATCTGTCTGTCTCTCTCTGGTAGTCTTGAGTCATGGTCATATGAGCTACTTGTGCTGCTGTCTGGTCTACTTCCAAATCCACAACTAGAAACTTCAGTTTTATCTGTATGGTATGTTCAGCTTCACAGAATATCAATGACAATTGTTAATGTATTTACTGAAGGCATTAATATGACTAACTCTGACGTTATTTGCCAGCCTGAACACTCTCAGCACAGTTTTTGCAATTCCATATGGGCTTTCTGGTGCTGTAAGGTATTCCTAAGCTTCAATCGAATCTCCAAGGCTATGTTTGGTAGCCGTGATCGGCTTATTATGCTTATCACGGATCTTTCCCGTTATTTGGTAAAAACTTAAAAGGATATTACCAAGCATTGTGAAAATTCAGTTAGATGGCCCTTACCAAACAGGCCCTAAAAACAAAACGAAAACCATTGTCATCAACCAAAACATGCCTCCAAAATTACAACCGTTATTTTTGTTTGCAGCACTAGAGTATCTAATGAGTTAGGATTGGGAAACCCACAGGGGGCTCGTTTGGCTTTCTTGTCTGTGATGCTCATTTCTGTGTCAGCGGGTGTTATAGTAAGCGCAACCCTCTTTGCTTTTCGGAACGTATTTGGCTATGTTTTTAGCAATGAGAAGGAAGTGGTGTACTATGTTGCAGATATTGCCCCTCTCCTCTGCCTATCAGTCATAATTGATAGCCTTCAAGGGGCCCTTTCAGGTACAAACTCCACTCAAATGAATCTGTTTAGCCCTGATGTGAAAAAAAACTGTTCGGTAATTTATGATTTGTGATATATATATTTGAGGGTTCTGTAGGGATTAGTCTATTGTGATACAATATGCAAGGATGAAAATATCCCGATAGTTAAAGTAATAATTGATAGTATGAGGCTTTGTTTTTAATGCATAATATAATCTAATATGTGCATAAATGGATGGTATATGCGCTTAATAAATAGAGTTATAAATTTGTTGGAAAATGTTGCATATATGTATCTGTCAGCAGTGCAATTTGTAAGTGAATGTGTGCATATTTGTGTGTTATAAGAATGGGAATATTTTTATATACGAGTTACTAATTATTCTTTTTTGAATTATTGTAATGTGCATTTGGGGGGTTTAAAAGTGAAAATATATTCAGTGATAAGGGGATGACTAGACATATCGGTATTTCTCATTAGTGCAATGTTTAAGTTCATATATATACTATCCTTCGTATCGCATTAGCTGCAACATTGGAATATTTACACTATTCATGTATTTTACTTTGGCTACATTTTATTTATTAATATATGTGAATTATTTTTTTTAAAAAATATTTTTAAATTCGTCTCATTACTAAGTTTTATAATCTGATTTTTATTTTATTTTTACTAATACGGAATTAAATATAATGACGGTTAAAGTTGTGCGTTGACAAACGTGAAAAAGGGAATGTTCCAACTAAAAAGAGGAGGAAGTATGTGTTTGTACATGTGTGTTATAAAATATTTGAGTAATTCTAATTAATGATATTATTATTTTGAAGTGTACATTATATTACTTTTATAGGTGTATGTTGATGACGTAAAAGTGATAATCTATATATTCAATGATAAGGACATGAGTGCAAATAAGTATTTGTCATCCGTGCAATTTTTATGTTGAATGCATATGTGAGTGTTATAAAATATGTGAGTATTTTAATATATTAGTAAAATAGTAAATAGCAATTAATGATGATTATTATTATTCGAACTGTTATGTAGTGCAATACGATTATTTGTATGTGCATATTAATAAGGTAAAAGTGATAATGTATTTATGTGAAGGGGATGGTGATGGTGTGTCGTTAACATGTAGAGGTAATATTACAAGAAGGAAAAAATAGTGCGAGTACAAGTAAAGATGAAAATAAAAAAGGGTTAATTATCAAAATAGGACTAAAAGTGACTCACTTTGCACAAATAAGACCAAAAACTAAACTATGTTTTCATATGACTAATTATGTGTGTCTTGGACAAATATACCCTTCTAGCTATTGAAATGTTTTAATTCATAATAAAATAATAAAAAATAATAAAAATTCGTAAAAAATACTAACAAACTAATAAAAATATTTCGATAATAATTAATTAATTTATATTTTTTCAAAAAATAAAAAAAACAATTTTTTTTAAAAAATAAAAAACTCAAAAAAATAAAATAAAATTCACCGCCGCCTCTGCCGCCTCTGCACCACCACCTCCAGTCACCAGGGGAAAAAATGCCAAGTTCATTACGAATGCCATATTTATGCTAGAAAACAATGAAAATGTTGGCATTCGCAAAGAGAAATATGCCACTTTTTTGGCATTTTCAGGAAAAAATGGCAGTTTTTAGGAAAAATGGCATTTTTTCACTGGCCGGAGGTGGTGGTGCAGGGAGGTAGTACATGCGGTGGGAAAGGCATCCATATATTTTTTAATTTTTTTATGGAGTTTTACTATTTTTTATTAATTTACTTTAAAAAATTAAAAATTTTGTTTTCTTGAATCTTTTATTTTATAAATATTTTGTAAATTTTTTAATTATTTTTCTACGAATTTTTGAATTTTTTTAGAATTTATAATGAATTAAACATTTAATTATGACTTTTGACTATTTTTAACTCATATTTAATGAAAGGGTAAGAATGGAAGGTAAAAATAGGTATGTTTCCAAATAGGATTCATATGGTCCTATTTTGGAATAAAAACATAGCAAGTTCTTTTTTGAGTTTTTGCCATTGTTTTAGTCCTATTTGAAGTAATTTCTAAATAAAAGACTTACCATAATAATGTTTGCCACAATTATGAGTGGCGGAAATTTCATTAATTGCAAAGGGATGTTACAAAAATACCCTCGTAAACGACTGCATCATCTGATCCATTGATTCATGAACATAAACAGATTATATGGTTGTGATGCGTTCTCATTTTTTCGATAGGAAGATCACTTTTTATTTGAACCAAATTCTACACACACTATTGAATTAATCACACACCATGCATCGCACGGGTATATTGAATAACACCAAACATTTCAATAGCTATAGGAAAATAACGAAAAACGTTGGTGATATCATTCTCTTTTTCACAAAAAACCAAAACACTTACACCAAACACAGTTTTTCGCTCCAAAAATTGTTCAATATCGATATCGAAATATCGTATAATATATTCATAAATTCAAAGTACCCATTAGATCCATAAATACGATATTATTGTTGCATATATGCATATATACATTAGGTATGATAAAATTGTAAGATCCCCCTCCTCTCCAACTATTATTGTTAATAATAATAAATTGAAAGATTAAAATATTAATTATCCAAAGTTCCAAATCTTCCATCAAAACAAATACTAGAGGTCTTTTATAGTTGTGTGTTTCCAGTCACACCACTCAAAGAAAGAATTACCTAACAGAGTTTTGAGGGAAAGCAAAAACAATGGCTTAAAAGTCACAACTATGCCAAACACCCTAACTATTGATCCCTAACCATTCTGGGTTGTATGCTGCCCGTAAGGGTGAATATTTTTTTTATACCACTCGTCTAACATTACTTACCCATATCACCGCCTAGACGGGAATAAATACACATTCATGTGATCAAATGCTGATATATATAATAGGTGTTGCTAGAGGATGTGGGTTGCAGCATATAGGAGCTTTAGTCAACCTGGCTTCGTTCTATCTATTTGGAATTCCAATTGCTGCATCACTGGCTTTCTGGTTTCACGTGAGAGGAAAGGGTCTTTGGGTTGGAATCATGTGTGGCTGTGCTTTGCAAACGGTTATGCTATCAATAATAACAAGTTGCACAAATTGGAACAAACAGGTACCTAGTGGCAACCTTAATGAGCCTAAACCGTGAAAATGAGGTTGTGGGATAGTAAAGATTGGTGTACATTTTTGTGGTACATCCTTTCTATACATTCCTATGTGACTGGCATCATTTGGATGATATAAAGTTCTCTAGCTTTTCAATATCCAATACATTCATGCCACATAAGAATGCATCTATATAATGTACCAAAAAATGTCTATTTAGTATTGCTCAATTTATTCTGGTTTTTTTAGTGTTGGCACGCGCTGATGCTTCATATAATATTTTGGCGGGTTGGTTTTGGCTTTGCAGGCGGCTAAGGCAAGGGGGAGACTTTATCAGTAAACTGTAAAAGTAGTATCTTGATGAGCCACCCAAGTGGATGAGAAGTTAATTATCTAATTAGTTTTGAGTTCCATTTTTTCTTGTCATTTTTCGTTTATATATATCTTATTGAAGACCACTTCTACTGTTCTACATGTACAATGCCCCCCAAGAAAGAGCTAGCAATTCTCTAGTCTCGATTTGATCATTTCCCGTGATGGTTAACAATGAATCTTTTAATGTGTTAAAAAGAGAACTCTTGATTAGGGGTGGGCATGGGACACAACAGGATGGGAATTAGACTATCCCGGTCCCGAATCCGGTTTAGGATAACGGGACAGAACGGGACGGGACAAGATGTTGTCTTGCTGTTGTCCCTTTTAAAGCGGTACCGGAACAGAACGAGACGGTTCGGGACATTCAAAAAAATTGCAGCGAAAAAAATACAGCTCCAAAAAGAAACTTCGACAAAAACTACAACACTAAAAATGCAACATATACAAAAATTTACGATAAATGCAACACAAAAAATAGTAGATTAATAGGATAGTTGCACGAAACAAACCGTAACAACAACAACTAACTCCAACACACAATACTACAAAGAAACTACAAAAATAAATAAAAAGACAAACAATATTATTTGAAGTGAAATATGTGAAGTATATGTGAGTTTCTTTTTAGTATGTAGAAGATAGTTCATACTTGATATAATTTAGACTCATTTAGGTGTTTTACATATTAGATAACTAATACCTAATTAATATTCATTAGTATTTGAATTGATGGTAGACTCACTAACCCACAACTATATACTCCGTACAATTTTGAATTCGGGACAACGGGATGGAACGGCCGAACGGGACATATTTTATTTGTCCCGGTCCCGTTTTGTTTTGAAACGGTTCAGGACCGGAATGGGACAAAAATAGTTTGTTCCGAATTTAACGGGACAATTTCGGAACGGAACCGGAACGTTCCGGAACGGACCAACGGGACCGGGTCTTTTGCCCACCCCTACTCTTGATTGATTGTATAAGGATCAAGTCTCTGCATTTGGTTGGGTTTTAAAAAAAATATATCATCATTACCCCAGTGCCGCAAAGTCTCCCACCCACGGTGGGGTAAGGGGGGTCGGATGTACGCAGTCTTACTCTGTATTAAAGCACAAATAGACATTTTCCGGATGATCCATAGTGAAAATCACGTCGAAAATTGCATGGTCTAACTGCTGCTTCATAACAAAGAAGCGCAGACAGTTTAGTGAGTCATTTTGCTTTAATTTATCATATTCTCAAGCCAAAAAAGGAGTTTATCCCCAAATCAATGATGAATAAAAAATTATTGAGTTTTTTTTGAATTAATGGTAATTAATTACTTACGAAAATAATGCTGGAAAAAAGTATTTACCGATCTACTGATGGGTTTAGCCATGGTTAAGGAAAGTCGCCCAACTGTTGGGTGACTTATAAGTCGCCAAACCGTTTGGTGACTTATAAATCGCCCAACCATTGGGCGACTTTCCCTTCCATATGAATGCAACCCAGCAGCTACTGCCAGCACGCACGATCGTGCCTGCAAGGGTAGGCACGATCGTGCCTAATTCTGAAAACAGAATTTCAGCATTTTTTTGCCCCAGTTCAATCCAAGCTTATCTGTTTGCTATAAATAAGGTCTCCCTTCTCCTGTTTAAGTGTTACGAGCCAGATACAACACATTATAAAACATACAATACACCCGTTCACAAACACATACATAACACCTACTCTAAACAACATACAAAACACCTTGTAAAGACACTTTACAAATCGAATACAAAACCTTAGATTCATCACCGGTAAAACACAGTACAATCATCCAATATTCATAACAAGTAATCATCTTATATTCATACTCGAACACATCAAGACAACATACAAGAGTTTAGAAGAGAAAATACGTAAAATGTTGTAAATTGTTCCTACAACATCTACTGTACACGAAAAACTGCAATACAAAAGGCAAACTACAAGTTCTCATGGTCATCTTGATCATCGTGGTCATGGAGATGTTGCTGCTAATGTCTATGCCTATGTCGTGGTCGTGGTTGAAGAACCATTCTCTCAAGCTGCGTCTGGGATGATGAAGCCGCCGCTGCACTAGACGTCGATGGCATCTCCTGAGATGGGGCATGTGTATAAGATGGCCTTAGTCGTCTCGCCCCAACACATCTGAACACAAGGAGGCAATGTTTGTCAGAGTCTGTCCATACATGTCCACATCATGAGTATCACTCACTGTGGCAGTAGCCCGCTGATGTATACGCTGCAAAGCTCGTGTGTGAAATATGAAACACAATTACAATTACATTGAAATACATACAAGTATTAAATAAATAAAATGACTTACTTTACTAATTAGTAATATAATCACCGTAAGATGCAAAACCAAGGAGCTAGGCTGATAATGATGAGTAGGGAGTCTGAACGAAGGAGACACAAACAAACAAGTGACGTTGTAATACCATCACATGTAGTCTCCTGAAACATATGGGACAAATGTCGGTGTCCCAGTCACAACTAGCTCAGCTCGCCTGTCCCACAGAGCGACGTCTCGAGCATGTCATCACCATTGATGTTGTCGTCAGCATCATCATCACTTCCCTGCCCATCCACAAATGATGCACCGTTGTGAAAATACCTACCATCTTCTTGTATAACCATGTCCAGTACAGGAGCATTTGAGGAGTTCCCTGCATTCACACCTGCATTGGCATAATGCCTAGATACAATAACATTTGATGTTGATGGAGTACTATAAGCGTCACATAGGAATTCCTCAATGTATATCTCCAGCGTCGACATGTCCTCCATCTGAACTATGCCCCATATATTTGTTATAGCTAGTTCATCAATGAGGGGCATAAGCATGTACTTTCCCCCATTCATGGGAAATTTCATTTTCAAACGCAAAAAACGGCTAGGATGAATCATTGTGGTTGCATGTATTTTTTGAAGGATCTCGAGCATGCAAGCACCACGAGAAACCATGACAAATGTGGTTCTACCACCTTCATGGCATATTTGTCCAACATCCTCATAATAGTTTCCTCCTCAATGACACACGATTGGAAAGCTTGAGAAATCCATATTCTAATAACAATTCATTGTCCAAGACTCTAAGTATCATGAGTAGACATCAATATACACAATTTATACACATTCAAATTTTCAATAGAAAAAACTACCAAAATTCTAATATATCCAAAAGTCAAAATTCACAAACAACTCACATTTCAATATGAAAATACCCAAATTTTGATATCTACATTCAAGTCTACATTTCAATACCCAAATTTACAATCAATTTAAAATCAAATTTCAACATTTCATACATATCTACATTTCACAACAACTCAATTCACAATCAATTCATAATCTAAAAATTCGAAAATTTTAACATTCAAAACCCTAAGTTCAATATGAGATGATATGGAGTTTGATTTACCTACAAGAAAGAAGAAAGAGTGTTGAAGATGAAGATGGAGGTTTGCCGGAGTGGGGTCGCCGGAGATGGAGGTTCACCGGAGTTGGAAATGGCTCGATCGTCGTTCGTCCTTCGTCCTTCGTCGCTGCGGTTTGGGGGATTTGAGGCTTGAGTTTACGTCGTTCTGTTTTGTGGCTGGCCGATATTTTTACTTAAGGGAAAGTCGTCCAACGGTTAAGCGACTTATAAGTTGCAAAATCGTTTGGCGACTTATAAGTCGCCCAACCGTTGGGCGACTTACCCCGAACATGGTTAACCCATCAGTATATTGGTAAATACTTTTAACCCAACCCTATTTTCGTAAATAATTAGTTAATTAACATTAATACGGAAAAAAACTCAAAATTATTTCCCAAACTCATGTTGGGTTAAAACTATTTCCGAAAGTAATGTTGAACTAACTCAAGTTAACACTCATGCGTGACTTACTTGAACAGCGAAGAAGCATGTTGCGCAGGACAACAACGAAGAAGAGCCAATCGTGGGACCCAAAAAATAAAAAACCCCATTTTAAAAAAAAAGTGATCTAACCTTTTTATTTGTATTCAGATTATTATAGAAAATATACTCCCTCTGTCCCGAAAAGGTTAGCCAAAGTTGACTTTCACGTAGATTAAGGATGTTTTTACTTGGACTGTAATTTACTGGTATGGTTTGGTCTGATCTGGTCTGGTCTGTTTTGATCTGGTCTGGTCTGGTCTGGTCTGGAATTTTATTTTTATATTTTTTTCATAAAGATTTTATTTTTTATATATATATTATAATCCATAAATAATTACAAATAACAATAACAATAACAATAACTATAATAACAATAACAATAACAATAACAATAACAATAATAATAATAATAATTAGGGGTGTGCACTATCCGGTTTAAACCACAAAACCGAACCGAACCGGATCGGAAAAACTGGAACCGGATCAAACCGGAATGATATCCGGTCCGGTTCGGTACGGTCCGGTCCGGTTTTGAACCGGTGCACACCCCTAATAATAATAATAATAATAATAATAATAATAATAATAATAATAATAATAATAATTAGGGGTGTGCACTAGCCGGTTTAAACCGGAAAACCGGACAGGACCGGACCGGAAAAACCGGAACCGGATCAAACCGGAATGATATCCGGTCCGATTCGGTACGGTCCGGTCCAGTTTTGAACCGCTGCACACCCATAATAATAATAATAATAATAATAATAATAATAATAATAATAATGATAATAATAATAAAATGTGGTCTGGTCTGGTCTGGTCTGGTCTGGTCTGGTGTGGGACTGATTACAGTCCAAGTAAAAACAACCTAATAAAGTGAAAACTGTGTTGTTGAAATTTGTGTAGAGGAGAGAGAATTAATTTTAGTCGTATATTCTTTACTTTAAATGGAAATGACAAATCTTTTTGGGACATCCAAAAAAGGAAATTTGGCCAATCTTTTCGGGACAGAGGGAGTATCAAAATTCATAACTTTTTATTATCTTTCATATGACACCAATATTAAATATATAAAAATTAAAATATAAATTAGCACTTTAGAAAATTCTAATACTTCTGTCCCACTAACATTAAGACGAAAGAAAGTAGCACGATTTTTAAGAAAAATTGGTTTATGTGGTTGGTATTGATAAAGTAAGAATAAACTAAGAATGATTTAGAGCCACAAAAAGTTTACCAAATTTGACATGAGACAATCTTAGTGAGATTTCTCGAAAAGGTAAAATGGAACAATT